AAATCAGCCCTTCATTTGTGGCTTTTCTCCTTTTCCAAGATTCAAGAAATATCTGCATACCCCAGTGACAGAGCAGATGTGAAAAATCACCTGCTATGGACTTTTAAAGCCCAGCAGTCCTGTCACCCATTCAAAATCAATTCTCAGTTATTTCACTGCCTCAAACCCTACACAGACACTGACAGGGTTCTAGCAGAAGCTAATCCAGCCAAAGACCAGCTCAGCTATGCTGTAAGAATAGTTTGGAGACCATCCTGACTATTGCCTCATTTAAAAAAAAAAAAAAATCACAATGACTGACAGCAAAGAAGTTACACGAGTCATTTCTAGATTAAGTGCCAGAACTCTACATGTGTTTCAAATTACACTACAACACTGTACAACAAAGAAATATGCAGAAATTTTCCACTTGAAGTGAAGGTTAAAAATTAAACACTAACAAAGCTCTAACAGATATGAAACTCAACCTCATCTTAATGCGAAATTTAAAATGCCTGAGCTGTCCTACACTAGGAAAAAAGGAATGAATCAATCCAGTTGTTCACAAGAAAAAGCACAGTGGGCATTGTATGTACAGATTTTCACAGCACTCCCACTCTGCTTCAGTACTTACCCCCTCAACTCTTAAAATGACATTCTGTTTAGATTTAACTTTTAATTTATCAAAGTATATCACCTATCCTCATTAGATTAGCGTTCACTATTGGGCTTCATTTTCTGCATCTTATTTAAACAAAACATTAACCAGAGTTTCCTAACAATGTGATTATACATGAAAACAAGTTGATAGATCGAAGAGAAGTCACATTTTTCCTTAAAGAAAAGATTTTTGAAGCAAACCTGATTTTTATATACACACATATATACATACTCAGCTTGGATCTCTCCAAAGCTATGTAGGCAAATACAATTTTATTTTAAGCAGCCCAGGCTTGACTTGATTACAAGGTCTGCTGCAAAGAGAAATTTTTAACCTGACTTGTAAATTACCTTAATTTTATGAGAATGGTGAGGACATGACTGGCACTGTGTTGAGTATGATCCACTTTGGATAACAAGGTTTCTAAACCTTGAGTCATGAAGTTCACGTATCTTTACCCAAAATGCTAATCATATAAGCAGATTTTCAATTTACAGTAAATTTTTAAGTAGCTTGTGTATGGCTCTTCACAGCTGTAAAACTTGGTGGCTGCTGTGTGGCCACTCCTGTTAGACAGACTTACAATTACTGCCAAGAATGTCTTTACATTCTTCAGGACCTCCAAAAAAACATCATTTGGATCCTCGGGGGCTTTTTTGTTTTGTTTTTCCTTTACAATCAAAACTACATATCAAACATACATTTTTAAAGCAACACACTACTCTCCATCCCCATCCTGTGTTATTCTTTCACTACTTGGAATGTCAGTTTGTTATATTTTTCATTTCTTTTGTTTTCCAGTAAGAAAAATGCAGACCTCCAACCACACAAATTCAGCATATTCAGCTAAAACATCAAGAAGAAAAAAAAATAAAATTAAGAGAGACAGGACATTTTGCCCATCTAAGAAAACCTCCAAGTAAAGCAAGTGCCCAAGTGCTCCTCACGTTCTCTCGCAGCCACACACCTCTGCTCCCCAAAAGGCAATTCAACAGATTTGCACCAATTTGAACCAAAAGGTGACACTTTCCACTTCAGTCCAAACTAAGTTAGTGGTGACAGCAGAAGTGCCAGTAGAGCCCTTGATAAGGCAGGGATCTCTCTCCAAACACATCAGCAGGTTGCCCCAGCTCCGTGCACAAAGCATTTCGCAGTGCACGTCCCTGCACAATTCAGTAACCTTCAGTAACTCAGAGCAGTGGCAAAGCCACACAGAGCCAGGGCTGTAAGTCGTGGTGGAGGGACAGGCAGCTGCAGAAGCCACCCCCTGGATGGGCATGTTCCAGTGACCCAAGAGCCCATTTTCCTCCAAGGGCAGCACCACATGTTTGGGAGATGCTCTCACACATCCTCTCCCCTTCTCCAAGTCACGTTTCCATCTGACAGCTGAGACAGGCACGAGCTGGTCCTCGAGTCTGAACAACCAAAGTGACCTTCATGGGGGGCTGAAGGACACAAACCCCTACACATTATACCAATCATTTGTGTTGGGGGAAAAAAAATCCTAAATCTTTATTATTCTCAGATTTCCAACACCCCAAAAAAAAAAAAAAAAAAAAAAAAAAAAAAAAACCACGAGGATGTTAATACTTTTCTGCAGTACTTAAGAAAAAAAAAAAAAAAAAAAAAAAAAAAGAAAATTTACATCCCCAGGGAAAATGCTAAACAAATTTGTAAGAACAATTTGAACATAAATTTCCTTTTTTGCAAAATATGCAAACTCCACACAGAAGAGCAGTGGAAAAATGCAAAATCAAGTTCATGGTCAGCTCATTAAGTTTTTTGAAAAGCCTAATAAGCAAATAATACAAGTCATCTTAAAAAGCTTTTTTTTTAATTATAAAAGATTCTTTACAAATGTTCTACATGACCCTGTAAGTATTCACCCTTTTTCTTGCTCTTTGCTAAAACTTTCTTGCCATCTGTGTCCTTCATTACAGCAACTCACTAAGAAAAAAAAAAAATGCTGAAACCTAAAGCAGGTCGTGCAGAAGGTATGTTAAGGAGTATTCAGAAAACTTGTTCTACTGAGTGTTTTGAAGATTAAAAAAAATGTATTTTTAAGAAAAAAAAATTCAATAAATTATGCTACCTGAAGTGAATTCAAAGTCACTGGGTTGACAATTGTGTTTGCAACAGTTCTGGCTCCAGAAACTCAGATAACAGCCTGCACATTGGAGGGAACTATTTAGCAGCAATAAATGTCAGTCACAAAGTTATTAACAGGAAAATGAAAAGAGGGAGAAACTAAAATTTAATAAAAAAAAAATCCAGCTAAATACATTCAGAATCATAGAATGGTTTGGGTTGGAAGGGACCTTAAAGACCATGTAGTTCCAACCCCCCTGCTATGGGTAGGGATGCCACCCACTAACTAGGCCAGGTGGCTCAAAGCCCCATCCAGCCTGGCCTTTTATAAGTACAAATGAACAGGAAACTAAAAATCTTTAGCTGGAGAGGTTTACATTGTGCCCAGCTCTTCTGCCTCACCCAGGCAGCTGCATGCAGCTGCCTGAACAGCCCCAAAGCAGGGACAGAGGCACATTAGTTAAGCATTCATCATCAACAGGAAATGCGCATGAGTTCATATAAACACAGAAACACAAATACATAAACCAACAGCCCTGCACGGTTTAAGGTATTTCAGACACCCCATGGAATAGGGTTGGAGCTGTGCTGGCTGGGAACCCACAGCACTGATGTATTTGTTTTGGAATGGCAAACAGCCTCGGGACTCAGAGGAACTCTTCTGGTGGGCACCACCAACCCACCCACCCAGCCAGCCAGCCGTGAGCCTCCCCTTGCTGCCGCAGTCACCCCACACCTCTCAGCTCCTCCACCACCTCCAGAGGCAAGCCCAACAAGCCTGGCTGCTCCTGCCCACAGCAGGAAAATGGCACATCTCAAAGTGCCTCCAAGGAAAGACTGTGGCATTGTTGCAAACCCTACTCTGAATACGCTCCCACACGGATGCAACTGCAGGGTTTAAAGGGTTTTGCTCTGCAAAGTGTTGGGCTGCCCCAGAACTGGTGCCACTAAATGCAATGGACATAGAGGACAGTGTTCCTGGTGGATTTGGACACCAGCAAAGGGAATTCTCCCTGCACAAGGCATCTTTTTCTTGTCCGTGATGAGGCTGAGGGGGCCTCAAGCTCCTCTCACGCTGGAGGTCCCTCGCAGCTGTGCTCCATTCAAACAGGTGGCGAGGCTGAACCAGGCTCTGCCCGAGTTTAAACTCCTAATTAATACTTGGTTGCAGAAGATAATAAAAATTACAGGCATCAGGAGGACACAGAAACAGTAAAAATGGAGACAGCCTTACTTGCAGACAGTTTTCACTGTCACTTCTCACTTCAGTTTCCTGAAGCACCATTAGGTTGCTTATTTACCTTACTAAGTCTATCTACCTCTGTCATTTCCTGGATGAGTTACAACTTCTCACATGCCAGTGAACTAGATAGGATTCCTGTCTGGATTTCAGTGGTCTCCCAAACTCCACACTAAATTGCCTCTACTTTGTTCAGTACTTTGTGGCTTCAGTTTTCCCAGATTGCACAGCCAAACATAAACTGTTATTTTTTCCAACTCTTTCTTGCCTTGCCAGCCTGCACATTCGTTTTGCCATGCAGTTTTCCAGGCACTGGAAGTGCTGATGACCTTGAGGGTCAGGCCATGATGAGCTGGATGACACTCACCCAGTAGCTCCAGTTTTCAGGTGGCATTTCAGCTACAAACACATCTCTAGAGAGCAGACACATCACTCCTGGACTTCCTAACCTCCCTAACCCAGGCACAGGAGGCTCCCAAACTCCCTTTCAAACATGGATGCACACCACGATGCTGCCAAGCTGCTGGACCAGCCCTGCATTATATTTTTTGACAAAGTTAAGCTCTGTGCTTCATTTCTCACAAACACAGTTTGACTGTAGACAGCAGCCGACAAGTAAATCTACCCTTTTCCATGGCAAACAGCCCAACTTTAATATTTTTACTGGCTTACAGCTGGGTAAATTAAGCCCCAGATTTTTATTTATTTATTTTTTAATACCGTGCAACTGAAAATGAACAGCTACTTCACTATGACTGCCAAGGACAACCTTAAAAACACTAATGCAATCCAGTCCAGCTCTCAATAGATCTATAAAGGCAAGAGGACCAAAAATTTCAGCTTATCCACCCAAACAAAATGTTGGTTGGGCAGGAAGTCTAATATTTCGTTGAGATCCCTAAAAAAAAAAAAAAAAAAAAAAAAAAAAAAAAAAAAAGGAAAGGAAAAAAAAGATCCCTGGCAATCTGAAGATGGTAACAATCCCAGCTATGATGCCATAAAATGGGAATTAAAATGCACTGATTTACTTACCCCAGCTTTCCCAACATTTCAGGCTCTGGAACTTGTGGTCCATATGTCTCCACTTGCAGAGGCTGATATTCATATAAAGTTTCCTCTAATTTTTGAATGGGAGCTAATGAAATATGCTGACCCTGTTGGAAAAAAAAAAAAAAAGTAAAATATTTCTACATATAATCAAGGTCAAGGTTTATGTTTTGACTTTTTTTATATGCAGTGTAAGAACAAGCATAACTTGGTCCAGACAAACACTCTCCCACTAAGAACATACTGTTCACCATACCACTCACTTCTTCATGATTTATATTTTTTTTACTGGGACCTACAGATTGGAAGTGATGTTTCATCAGCTATAATTGTTTGGACAAGAAGGAAGGGGGGAAGAAGCTTTATTCAGGGCAAGCTTACCATTAGAAAGTACAGCTGCTTCCAGTGTCACTAGCAAAATTATTATTAGGCACTAATTTCATTTATCTGAAGTACTATCAAACAAATGTCTCTGAACAACCCTACTTGATTCTGTAATCAATGATTTCCTGAAAGCCCTAATTAGAAAGGGAAGCCACTTTCCTTTCTCTCCACAGGCTTTGTAAGCTCCCATACATAATGGCTCTCAAGATAGACTTTTACAGAGCAATACAATTAATTCATTCAGCAAATTCCCATTTGTTTCATAACTAAAAACATAGAAACACACAAACATTAAGCTTTCACTCCAGATGGTACTTTTGCAAGACCTTCAGACTGCTGAGAAACAGCGAGACATTTGCACATCCCTCCCCTCCAAGTCCCTATCACTCGGAGCTCTCACAAAACAGGAGACTTGGGGCTGGGAAGGAGGGGGTCAGGAGGATATGAGATAGAGCCAAAGTTAACAGATGTTGCTGCGTGACATTCTACACTGATTTGTTGATCTTTCACACAGTTTCAATTTTCTACTGTATTCTATGGTGCTCACAAAAATTAGCAGCAGCAGCAAAAAGACAGAGCACCGTGAGCTGCCCCAAAACAGCCTGGCTTTCCCTGTAGAAATTGAGTTTCCCATCTGCAGAATGCAGGAATTCAGCAAAGTAGTAGTATTGTTTTTGTAGACATTTTGTCTGAAACAGGAGATGGGAAGGTTTCCATGGTGTAATGCCGTGTATAAGCCTAGCTCCCACTGGTGATCACTTACTGAGCTGAGCTTCCCTGGGGCCACTCCTTTGAGCATCTACTCCCTCAAGTGGAAAATACAGGCTCCTAAAGTGGGACACTGGGTTAAAATTAACTAAAGAGGGGAATGAAAAAGTTTGTAGAAGGGGAAAGCTGTTAATTAAATTTGTGGTTGAAGACAGTGACCTTTCTGAATTTGGAGCAGAGATATTTTTGTTTAGGGAGTTGCAGAAAATAGCTAAGAAAACTGAGGACGTAAGTCCTTGAGAAGTGTTATCGTGGATCTAAGCCGATCTCTACGGAAATATCAGCAGCTCAAGTTTTCCATTGAAACAGCCCCTGTGTGTGTGATGAAAACAGAGTTTTAGGCTTTTTCTGCACTGCCTGGGGGACTGGAGAGGCCACTGCTGACACTGGTATGGGGACAGTGTCCTGGAGATGAGATGTGAAGGAAGTTCTCCAGTCAGCCATGCACCACTCCAACTCTCATGGCCAGCACATTTATTTCTGTGTTACAAAATACTGCTGCAACATTACTGCACATTTTTAAAAAGTAGGAAAAGAAAGGTTAAAAATCCAGATTTAATCCTACTTCATGATATTTTAGGACATAAAAGCAGGGATTTCTGTTTTCCTAGGAGTTGTCAATTTACAATCTATCCAATTTTATTAAAATATAATACTTTGTAACTACGTTTATGTGGGCCTCTTACATGCATTGCAAGAGGTTAATGCTTAAATAAGACTCTTACATTTACATTTTTAGCAATATCTTTGTCTCTAACCAAACCAAATGGAAAGTCATAACAATGTTTTACATATGTACAACCTCATCTGGCGAGTGAAGAGTTTCACTCTTTCCAAATCCAAATTTTGTTCCAGCCATAGAAAAGAAATTTCGGTTTTGGGCAAAGATCAAAACCATGGTAAATACTTTGGGAAATTACTTCTGTGCAGAAAAAGGGAGAATCTCAGATTGCAGGCACCCCATCCCTTGAGGACACCACCAGAACAGCTGCTCACTGTCAGCACAGTTGCCACTGGTGCCTTCCTGACACTTTGTTAATGAGAGCGACTTCTGCCAGCATTGGCCAAGAGACACTGGAAGGCTCCCAACACACAGACTGGGATCATCACCGCCCTCCTTCCCCACCACCATTTATGCTGCTACAGATGTCCACCTCTGGAAGCTCCTGGGGGGACAGGATGAAAATTGTTTTCCCCTCTTTGTGGAGTTCCCAGGGTGCCTGAGCTTACAGGGCATCACGATGGTCATTGTCTCTCAGATGACCGAGCAGGAACTGGAAGGGAGCTGCCCAGGAATGGTGGGAAGGCTGAATGGTCAGCACCCCAGGGAGATGGGGAGCACAGGGGTCATGGGGAAGCACTTCTCTGTGTGGAACTGCATCAACAACTCCCTGTGGTGGCCTGGAGAACAGGAGAATGTCAGAAGAGGAGCTGCATTATAGACACTGTCCCCCCTTGAGCTGGTCTGACATCACATCCAGCACAGGCCAGGACATTTTGTGTTCCTGTATGAAGCCCAAGGACTGGCAGTTCAGCCAAAATACCTTCTTTTGAAAGGCATCCAATCTAGATTCAGAGAGATTTCAGATCACAGAGGTACAGGCACATCCCCCTAGGTAAGTTGTTGCAATAGTTGATTATCTTCACCATTGAATACTGGCAGCTCATTTCTGGTTCATCAGATTGACTCTCTCCTATGTCTTTCTCACCTCCATCACGGGCCAAGGTGCAAGTATCAGGAACCAGGGTGCCATTTGTATGGCAAAATGACTGCACTGGTTTGTGTGCAGCCAGCAGATCTGCACCTCAAAGAGATTATGCAGCTGTATGAGACAGCTCATTTGTTTTTGCATCCCAAAATCACAACTTTAGCTGATGTGCTTTGGCAATGTGGATTACATTCCACTTAGCAATAGGTAAAAAGCCCCATGACCAGCTGTTGTTCCTGCCCTTTGGCTGTCTGGCCTTTAGGCTCCTGAGCTTACAGACTTTCAAACTGTTTAGCCCTACACAGGTTAGGGAGGTTCCAGAACTGAGTATGGCCCAGACTGGTGCAAAAGTCTGGGATGCAAACCAAAACCATTGCCTTTCCTATTTCCACTGCTGTTGGGATAAGCTGACTCACAAAAAAACCTTGCTGAAGTTAAAAGGCTCCGTTTGACCACTGTTATCTCAGTTAAGAGCCATTTGACCAGAAGCATCCCACTTTTGTCTCTCTGTCCCAAGTGGTCCCCAACCACTTCATAACAGACTGGTAATAAAAGGGAAGCTGCTGTGTAACTTTAGAGACACCACAAAAGACAATAACTGTTACTTTGGACTTACACAGCACTTTTACAGATACAAAACCCATTTCTAACCTATGAGGTAAGACTTTTAAATTTCCTGTATTCCACCTAGACAGTCAGCATTACCTCTTTCCAGCATTAGGATGCATTTATCAGCATGCTGAAACCAAAATGAAAGCAGTGGGACCAAGGTCCTGCTTCTGCATTGCTTTCTCCTGACAAACCTAAAATCTGATGTGGTCATGGGTAAGTATTTCTAATTCCCCTTGGATGCTGTAATGTTTGTGTAAAAGAAGCTGACAGCATCCAAATGAAGACAGAAAAGGCTTCCAAGAACACAGACAACGCTTTTTCCTGCCTCCTCTCCCTCCCACTCCAGTCTTCACAGCATACAAGTGTTTTCCCTGGGATTATTTTAGGCACCAGAGCTGTCTATTACATACTGGAATGTATGGAACCACAAAACATGCTGCTAATTAGAAGGAAGGCATTTGCTTATCCTTGGGACTTTGTTTATATAAAAGCCTGCACGGCAATGGATTTGTGAGCAACTGACATTCTATTCATGTGCTCTATGGGTTCAGATGAGAGACATACAGGATTAAATTGGGAGGGGGTTTGAATAATGTCTTTGTATTAGAAGTAAAACTGACTGGCTGATAGACTGAGACAACTATCAGCTGAAAAAGAAACAAAAGCAGTGGCCAGTTTTGGTTTCAGATTGTGATACAACATGGCATTTGTAAAAGAAAAGCCATGGATTACATACAAAGAACTGCCTTTGCAGTAACAAGGAGCTTACTTTAAACAAAAACAACACTCTTTCAGGAACAATCATGTTCATTAGAACATCAAAATTATAGTGTATCACTGCACCTTTCACACAGCTTTGGGGAGGGACTCTTGGCAGATGCCAGGTACATCAGTATTTGCCTGCTAGCAGAATGAGGTTATTTTAGCACAGAGTACAGAAATATCAGCCCAAGTTGCAGCGTTCACACTTCTTCCCCTCCTGCCCTCTCTCCCTATCCATGTCTCCAAAATGACACTGCCTTCCTCCACCTCAGCAGCAAAATGAAACTGACAGCCTTCCCAGAAATGTTCCAAGAGCCAGGGAGGAGGAGAAAGGAGACTTCACACCAAAAATGCACTAGTAGGGGAAAGAGGAGGAACAGCTATGCCACAAAAACATCTCCAGGCAAGAGACAGAAGCCAGAGACTGGGGTCAGTAAAACTTGTCCAGACAAGGCAAGTTTCTGTACTAGCAGCAGCTGGACTAGTTGATGAAGCCAATCTTTTTGCCTTTTAAATTTCTCTCTGCTTAGGAACTTACTCAGCTCTGCTATCAGCCCACTTCCACAGCGCACGTCAGAGAACAGAAATAGCGGCACTCGCGCTACATCTCATTAGGTCCCTTTGCAGCAATGTTATTTTTATTTAACCCTTTTCACTGGCAGGTCACTCTCCTGGCCAAAGGAGACAAGGAGGAACCAAGGGCTGTGGAATGCCAGGACATGATGCTGCTAAAACACACCCCCACTGCTGCTTCCATTGTACATGGCAGGACAGAGAGGTTAACAAAGACCCTTTTAAACATGCCATCATCTGAGCATGCAATTATCCAAATGCTTTCAAGTGAACATTAAAACAAAACTATAAATTCCATG